ACAGGACTAGATACGTTACAAAAGGTCTCCGCGGCGCTCAGATCAAGATGTGAAAAATATGTCAAACAAGCACAATAAAGCTAAATGAGACTGCGACCAAATATAAAATCACACCATCTTGGTCTCCATATCTATCATCCAAACGAAGAGGATATTGTCTCACATGTGAGATGTTATTATCGTTTATTTAATGATAAAACACTAAGCTCAAGTGTATTTTAAAAAAGAGGGGTGAAAGAGCAAATTTTATCGAATTAACCTCATTTGCCTATAATGCTAAAAATAACTTGTGATAGCTACTATTGTATAGAACTATACTTATCTGGCTGGAACAGAATTAAATCAGTCAACCAGTAAGAAAGGAAACGTATTTCTTGTAGTATGAGTGAAATTCTGATAGATCAGCAGTTCCAGAAAATGGAGGAGTGTGAGGGGGAGGCAAGGTTAATGACCTTCTATAGTAGTAGAATATAAACGATGTGGAAGTTGGGATATGGAGGAGGTGAAATACGGTAATAAGTAGATAAATGTACCAGGACATAAGTAGAATGATAACACAACGGTTCGTCTCTTTGACGAGTTTCAGCATGATATTAAGAATGGCATGCTTCACTGACGATGCCGGCGAAGGTTCTGGGATTGCACCAAGCCGACTATGCGACGATGGGAATTATCTTAACTAAAACCGTAGAAGACTTCGGATAAAGTGCGTCCAACGCCATCACCCTGACAAAATAAAGTTGCGAAAACGAGGTCAAACCACTACCAGACAGCATATGACCACAACGCCTTGGTCATTATGTCACCGATCACAATTAATTATCTATAAAAGTAATTCCCAAACTGTGCACCGCGCCGCCCCGGGGAGCTGCGGCCTCTTTACATGGGTGCCGTAAAATATGTAAGAGTTTAGATTTGAGAAATGTGCCGTAATTTGCAAGCTCATCCATCACATTAATTATTAAATATTAATTTAATGTCAATAAGGTAAAAAATAATGAAGATACACGAGTTTAATCTATTTTTATCTCTTACTTACGAATAGTCATAATTAGGGTAGGAACCCATGGAAAAATTTTAATTGAAAAAGGGCGCCATGACTAGGAAAAGTTTGGGAAACACTAATCTATAAAAATATATA